GCATTAGAATTTAAATGTGAGAATTCAGATTTGCTCTGGTTAAGCGAAAGTCCAATGGCTGAGCCCATTTCTTTAATTATGTTGACTGCTTTGGCGATTTCACTACAGGGACCACTCAAGATTCCATCATCAATATACCAAGCGTGGAGCGATAGAGTACATGAAGAGTTTATTGATTTCATGTCATTGATTCCAAGACTAAAGAGAAGGGATCCGAGAGGGTTACCCTGTTGGATACCCTCGACAGAAAGTATCTTTTCTTTGTTGAATTGTAAGATTGTTGGTGATTGGTAGCAAGAGAAAAGAAATTTGGTGTAAGCGGGGAAATGGAAGCAGGTTGAATGTAGGAACGTGTTGCGCGAAAAAGTGTTGTAGGCGTTAGAGAAGTCAATTTTTACTAGGGATTCGTTTTTTGGGTTATTTTCAAGGTGAATTCTTGTTAAGTGCACAGCAGCTTTACACCCACCAGGTATCCCTACACCAAGTTGGTAGGGGCTTAGAATGTGTGCAGCATCGTGTTTGATTCTAGATGCGATTAATTTAGCGACCAATCTACGGTAAGTTGAACCAATGGCGCTGGGCCGAATGTCCTTGTTTGGGTTTTGGAGTGCGATGAGTCTGGCACCGAAGAGTAAGGGGGTAATAAAGCTGGGTACGTCTCCATTTAGGATTTTGTTGACTAAGTTTGTGATTTTAGTGAGAATTGAAACCTGTGTACAGATCACAGGAGAGGTAATTCCTGTAAAAGAATTGGTCTAATCCCATCTAGACCATGAGCCGAATCCCGATGAAAAGATAGGATTGCTTTCCTTACTTCTTCCTGTGTGAAGTCTGCTGCACAATGGGAGTAGGGTTGGGGCAATATTGGCATAAATGTTGTTGTGGGATGCTTTGATCGAAGCTTAATTAAGGTATTTAAATTGGATTCCGCCAGAGTGTCATTGGTTGAAATGAGTTTGAGGGCCCCTTTGATATTAAGACTGTCAATTTTCTTCGAAATCAATGAGGCTTTTTGTTGAAGTGGGGTAATTTTTTTTTGTTTTTGGGATGTCTGGTGATTTGGGACTCATGAAGATGAGTGTTGATGTTTAAACAGGCATCTTTTATTTGTTGAGTTAAGGATTTTTGGAGTGATATGTCAGGTATTTTGAAAGTATTGTACCCGAAGTTTAGAAATTTTAACCATTCTTCTTCATTGTTAAAATTTTGCAAAAGAGAAGATATGCAGTTGCTGAGAGATTTAGCTACTTGTATTCTAGCTCCTTTGGGTATTCTCGTTATGATACTTGGTTTTGTGGAGTTAAGAAAAATATCTGAGAATGAGGCACCAATTACTTGGTTTAGAAGGGGATCTATGAGAGGGAGGGGAAGCGAGTAAGTGATCTGAGAAAGAGGCGTGTGTTTTGAATGCGGACACCTGTTAGAGATTGGTCCATGAACAAAAAATTCTCCATCATTTGTTAAATGTATTGGTTTCAGGCAGGATGGGCAGATTTTGCGTTCATGGGGGATGGCCATAGGTATAAAAAAAAATGCTGCCAATAATAAAGCAAAAGCGCCTGTGAGAGGTCTGTTGATTGATGAGCAAAAATAGCGAAGGAATGATGAATATGTATGTCAGAAAAATCGAGCAACGAGCGAGAAAGATGCTCAATATGAGAGGTTTCAAATAAAAAAAGGATTAATTATTAAAATAATATATTTAGAAAAACAATTAATTTTTTTTAAAGTTCAAGTTTTTAGTTTTCCTAAATATTAGTTTTATTTTTTTTTGCAATATAAAATATAGTATATGCTCAAAATATTATTACCATTTTTATGAATATTAGTTTTATTTTTATAAATTCAATATAATATTCTCAAAATATTAGCTTTTTACATGTATTTTTTAAATAATAAGCGATAATACTCGCTGAAAAATATGGTATACCTCATAGGTGAATTTTTGTATATACCAGGTCGAATATAATTTTAAAAAAATATCCGGGCCGGGCCTTAAATTTTTAAATCCGGGCCGGGCCGTGCAAATGGTACCTCTGCAGGTCTCTGATATATATAAAATTATAATAAATCTATGTAATATTAAATTTCATAATATTTTTTTAATTCACTCCATAGTTAATGTTTCGCCCTCCACAGAGTCTTGTTCCGATTCATATTCAATATCATTATTTTCTTTAATATTTTTAATCAATCTTAAGTTATGATATACTCTTACCTATTTTCCTGTTGTAGAAGTCTTCAATCGATTTCTGTTTTTCGTATAAATATTGCCCCAAACCTACCAATTTCTTTTTGAAAGAAAAGTCGAACTAGGAAAGGTTAGTAAAATATTAGCTACTTCTCTTAATGGGCAAGGTGGGCAAAGTGCATTCCACCAACTTGAGGTTTCCACATATTTTGGCTATTAAATATGCCGCTTTTACTTTTGAAATTTATTATATCACTTAAAATATTTTGATTATCACCACCTTGTAAAATACCTAATTCTTGTATTATATCACATGCGTCATCAAATTCATTACTAGTAAGATGCTCCCCTTGATATTAAGGGTTCAATAAATAAGCAGCATTGTGAGGAAATGTGTTTAGATAATTTTTTCTCTTTTCAAACATAACTTTAATTTTTCTTTATTCAGATGGAGTAAATATAGAATCATGGCATGATTGTTTTATATATTATTGGTAATTTTGATAATCATTCTCATTAATTTCACCCAATTTTTCGCTAGAGCTAAAAGTATTACAAATTACATTTATGTGATTTTTTGTAGAGGTTGATATTTTAGAATTTGAATAAAATTCTTCCTTAATTATGACAGGGTGCATAGTACTGCTGCTTTGTAAATGCTTGACCATTCATCAACGTGGTTAATATAGGACATCTTGCAAAATGCATAACGCTTTAACTGATTTACCATCGCGTACTTCTTGATAATGTTTCCAAACTTTGACCATAATCCGTAATATATTAGAATTTAACTATAAAAGATTTTAATTATTGTAAAGTTAATTAATCTTAATTATTTTATAATTATCGCCAATTATTTCAATAATTTGGCTAAATATTATATAAAATATAATATATAACTTTTTACCAGAATTCAAAAAATTATTTTGTAAATTTGACAAGAACAGCTTTAATTTATAAATTCAAATGTAACAAGTGGAAGTAACATAAATGAGAATTAATATAATTTATACTCGGCTAAATATTAAAGAAAATTTAAATTTATTAAAAAATAAACCATGACTTAGCTAAATTATTATATTTATTTATTTTAATAAAAAAATTCTTTTGTTTTCGATTCCCTCCTGATGCAAATATATTTTTAAATTCATTGTAACCTAATAAGATTGATAAATATGCTTTTAATGTTTACTAGTTAATTATATCAAAATATTTATTCGCAATAATATTTTAGAATATTTGACCTGTAAATTAACCTACATGCCAACCCTGTTTAAATATAACATATTTTTATTTATTTTTAATATAAAAACACTTTTTGGTGAAAATTATTTTGCGTGGAATCCTTTTTATTATAATTTAGAGTAGGGGAGACTGGGAATGGTTGGGGCAATTTTCGTTCAAACCTGAATATTTCAATAATATTAGACTAATCTGAATAGGTTAAACATCTTCTATATCTTAAAAGTATAGGTTATTTGAAATAATTCATATATATTTTATAAAACTATATTTTTTTGGAAAATTGATTAGAAAAATTTTCTTTTATCCCACTATGACATACACTGACACACATATGTGATAGTTATCCACTAATAAAATAAATATACAAATAAATTTAAAATCGATAGACTATGACACATTTGATTTTATTGATAATAATGCAAAACATAAATAAATATTGATTTTGGAGTGACTAAAAGATATATAATTATTTACACAATCTTACCTGTAAATAATTATATTTAAATAATCTTACCTGTAAGTAATTATAAATTTGTGATTGAGGTTTTTGGATATAAATTTAAGGATTTTCCATAATCCTCTGTACAGAAGATGTTCCTCTCTTTTATTGTAATTTCGCATATAGCTAATAAATGGTAAAATGAGCTGAAATGGCGTATCTCAACTATACTTTGACCAACCATGACTGAGCCTATTAACTTTACAAATATCATTCAGAATCATATTAATTCCTGTTTATTGATTCTGAAAATTTGTCAGATTTATTAATAAGGTTTTGACTTTTCTAAATTTATCAAGATTTTTAAAGTTTTATTTATAAATTTAATCTATAAAGTGCAATTATATTTTATTACTTTTGGTATGCTAGAACACATTTTCTTCTTAAAAATTAAATGCTAAATATTCTTCAAATCTTTTTATCCAATTATGTATGACTAATCATTTATGTTGGGTTAATATTTCATTTCTAAGTCAAATTATAATTGGAGTGACCTAACGTTCCCCTGTATTCAATGTACCCTGGTCTTTCCTACTTTATTTTATGTAAAAATTTAAAAATTTACCAGCATATTTCGTAACTTTTTTTAATAACAGATAATGGTAGATATTTTAGGAATATTTATTTTTGTTTGTTGGATTATAAAATTAAAAGTAAGACCAAAGAAAAGAACATAATCACAAGGTAAAATAGCTTTATTAATTGCAAGTTGTAATGCACTTTCAAAGTTAGGTATAAAAATTCGATATTTTTTTAACATCTCGATTTTGGAAGATATTCGAATTACATTGATAATTTATTTTTATTCTAAGGCCTATATAGTAAAATAAAGTTTATAATAAAAGCTGTTGTTTCTGTTATTTTTACTAAATTTTATAAGTCTATTATCTGGACCACGAACCCTGAACCTCCCTGAACTCGAACCTGTTCAGAAATATTTTACTGAATCAGAACCCCCATTATTTCATTTCTTATAGGTGAGATGGCCCACTCAGATTCTGGAGCTACATTAGTAATAATTTTTATCTTAACCTTTATAAAATAAATTATTTATAAAATATTTACCCTTTTATTGCAATTGCAATCACATTTTTCGTGCTTTATCAACCTGATATATAGTGTTCTACTCACATTAAATTGAGGACCATCTTCTCTCAGTATCACGTCGAACTGCAGAACCTGATAATATTGTTTTATAATTTTTCTCTCAATAAATTTAACTTATGAAGGGAATCCATTGAATATATTTTGTTTTTTTAAAAATAGTGCTTTTCAATTTTATTTTATAAAACTCTAACACTTTTCTAACCAATGGCGATCACTGCATTTTTTTTAACAAGCCTAAAAAACCTATAAGGCAGCGATAACTCAACTTCTACAAAGTTTTATACCAAAACATCTTTCAAATCAATCTTTATTAAATCTTAATTAAATTTGAAACGATTCAAGTGACCGAGTTAAGTTCAGGATTTATTAATTATTAGAATCAAGTTTTAAAAAGTAATCTTAAAAAAACGTTTTGTTATATAGATATGCATACCATAAATTCTTTTAAAGAGGTCTCGACTGGCGTGCAACTCAGGCAAGCGTGTAAGCAACAACCACTGCACCTCTCTATTTCAATGCAGGAGGGCCAAAACATGGTTCCATGTTTCCTGTAATTCCGTTTCATAAATTCCTTCTCTCTTTCAAGTTCCACGCACTTTACCCTAGGTTGACAACCAGCTTGATCAGATAAAACTTTGGCATAATTTATTTTATATATAGGATACTTATTTACCAGCCTGTGTAAGAAATTAAGAAAATTTTAATTTTCAAACCTGTCCCAAGTGTTCTAGTAAATTTTACTATTTTACGGCCTAGATTTTCAAAAATTGATTTAAAGATTTAGATTATGTACAAATTGGCTGAACCCACGGGTCTCTACTTAATACAATATTCCGAGAAAATCTAAACTTTGATAATACTCATTGTTAAAGTTATACTAAAGATAAAATCAAATAGAAAAAACTACACAATATGATATTAATTAAAAAATCTTGATTTTGAATTTTAAATAAATGTTATGACTGTATAAAAATGTCCCTACAAAGTATAATAGTATAATATTATATTTTAATGCAATATTTAATTGATTATAATTTACAAATATTGATATAAAGTTACCTAATTGGTTGTTGTGGTATTTAGCTATTTTGTTGTTCACTACAAAATTGAAAAATTATTTTAAAATTACAATTTGTTGAACAAAATTAAATTTACATTTATTCATATATGTACTTATTATTTGAGTTAACCAACATATTCATCATACAATAACGTACAAAAAATATTTTGGAAAATGTAGTAAAATGCAGGGGGATTTTTTGTTTAAATAAAAGTTGTTACAATTTATTAGGTTTTTCTTGTTTTACTAATAATATAGTATTTAAGGTAATTAAATAAAATGTATATCTATATTTTCCTATTGTCAAATAAGTGAATTGAAAAAGAAAATTTATAATTTTAAAGATAAACAGTTAATATGAAGATAAAATTTGTAAGGATAATTGAAATGTTTAAATTGTAAAGGTAATTGAAAGGTTTAAATTGTAAACAAATTAAATGAAAATTATATGAAATAATTATTGATGGTTGTATATGTCGTAAAGATAGTGAAATAAAAAATTCTCGTTTGAGAGATTTCATATATTAGGTATTTTCGAGTAATTTCTAATTCAAACATCCAAGATTTTTTGGGGCCCGGTTAAAAAGAATAGCATTAAAAAAGGAAGTACAAATTTAAAAGGAATAAAAAATATAATCTAATTCTAACAAAAAAGAATGCCGAGATACGTTCATTCCCAAAAATATGTCCCTTAATTACGCCATTGAGAAGATTGGTACTTTTATTTTCTCCAGATCAAATGTTCGCTTTTTCGTGTATATTGTATATATTATGAAAATCAGATAATGTTGCTAACATTATACAAAACCTATCCCGTGGCATTTTTAATAATTGATGGGGGCTGTAAACACCGTAATAAAAATCCATGGTTTATTATATTTTAGCAGAATGGTAACTCGTATGATGCATTAATCTTCATAAATATAGGATAAAATTACTTCTATAATATTTCTCTTTAAATGATTCTGGATAATTTTATCTATTTTTTTGCCGCACTGCCAGATGCGAAATTTTAAGTTTCGCTCCTATTTAAAAGGGTGAGTTTTACTTAGAGGAATAATTTAAAGGTATATACTAGCATAAAATTTGCGATTTTTTTCAAAACAAATTTTAAGATATTTATATGGTCCTTAGCATCGACAAAATCAATGCTGTATTCAAAAAGTTGGGAACATTTAAATTCCAAAAGTTTCGAATATAAATGTGAGTGCGGTATTATGCTTGAACTATTGTGCCTTTTGCTATATGCTTAATTTCTTAATTTACTACCCAGAAAGGGGTAAAACTTTAAACTAACATAAAAATCCTTAAGAATAATATATAATATAAAAAAAAATAAAGTGTAAATGTTTTTGCCCGGTTCCTGTTAAAGCACTCATAAATCAATCCAAAAATTTCTTGTAATTAATATGATTTTAACCAATTTTTATTGTCAGCATAGTTGGGTAATGGTCAAATGTTGGCATTCGGCTCAATCTATAGACGTGTGCTGGAGAAAATCCGTTAACATTAAAGCGTTATAATTTATAATAATTTTTTTTCAAATGTGTGCCTCTAAATATTTTTAAGAAAAACATCTAGATCAAATTGATATTTTTCAGCTAAGATTTTTTAGCGGCTAAAAATTGGCTTAAACGGCTAAAATTATAAATCCCCTAACTATAATTGCCACATAAAATTATTTTTATCATTATCTATATTTATTACTGATCGCCATATATTCTTGAATTAACAAGTTAAAACATATTTTTTAATAAAAAAAGGACTGGGTCAGTTTATTGAGAATGTAGTATGAGATAGCAATTTATGTTCAAAACAATTAAAAAAATTATGATATACATATTACCTTTATCCATCATCCATCATCCACATTTACAATTCTAATTCTTTTATTTAGAAGTCGGGGTTTTCACTGACTTATATGGCTTATCTTTCTGACTTGAGTTTGATATAAAAGTGTACTTTCCACATCACTTAAAATATATTTTTTTTTAGGTTTTCTTACTTAAACTAGTATCTAATTAACTTAAAAGCAAATTCCCTCGATTTTATACTATATTTATCAAAACTTTGGTTCGCTATCATCTATCCTTTTAGATTCACCCATAACTCATAAGTCATCCATCACACAATAATATGTGTTATTATTCATTCATGCTATCATTGTAATGATAGATGCTAAAAAGTTGCAATCTTCTTGATGTTTGTAGAAATAAACCCCACCGAAAAGAAAATTTCTTAAAATGGTAAAAAATTTTGAAATAAATAATCAACTTTCGTATGATCTCCCGTAAACGTTTGAAGATTTGCTTCTAACCGGTATCTTGATCGAGTAGCCTATAAAAAAAAATTACGAATGAAAGAATTAGACAATTATGACTTTTTTAAAAAAAAATTAAATGATAACTCTACACATTTACAAAGCAGATAGAACATCTTCTTAAATAAAAAAATTTCAATAATTAATCTAGAATAGGAGAAGGTCAGTTTTGGAAGGGGTTATGTGCTGCCCCTAACAATATGAAAGTAATTTAGTGAGATCTACCCCCCCCCCCCCCCACCTCAGTTTTTTTACAAAAAATAGAGATAAGCCGTTCTCCAACCATTAACATCTTAATAGCATATTATTAACTTTCTATCCTGCAGCAAAAATTAAAGAATTCATTTTTCGAGTACATATAATAATATTATTTATACGTTTTTAGTGTTCTTAATGCTAAGCTCCCGATAAAGAAAATATAAAATATTTTATCTATAGGTCCGAAACTAATTTGGTAAGCAATAATATATTAATTATAATTGCCCAATGAAAAACTTAGGATTACCCCATACCCAAGGTAATGGCTAAGGATCATAACTTTACTGTTTTATTGAGCAAAATATTAACAATTTAGATATTTATTTATTACTTCAAAGCAGGGTTGGCATGTCGGACAATTGACCTCACATATGGTCCAATTTGGCGAATAAATATTTTGTTATAATTAACTAGTATGCATTAAGCATATTTATCAATCCTAGGTTACAATTTATTAAAAAAAATATATTTATTTGTATCACGAAGAACTCGAAAACAAAAGAATTTTTTTATTAACATAAATAAATATAATAATTTAGCTAAGTCATGGTTTATTTTTTAATAAATTTATTTAATATTTTGAGTATAAATTATATCAATTCTCATTTATGTTACTTCCTAGAGGTCTGCATTGGGCGGGGTTTCGGCCCGCCCGCCCATCTTGGGCGGATGGGCGGGTAAAAATTTTTCAAGAATGGGCAGGCGGGTTAAAAATATTTGAAACTATGGGCGGGCTGGGCGAGCGGGTTAAGAAATTTAAACAATGGGCGGGCGGGTTAAGGAAATTTAAAATTTTTGTTCAAAAACAAACTAAAAAAAATAATTGTTTAAATGATCTATAATAATATTTCTTTTTTTTATTGTACCAATCGTTTTTTTAAGTGAAGAAAATTTACTTAACTATATTATGTAATAAACACAACAATAAAACTTTTTTCTTAGAATAAATAAACATTTTGTCTATTAAAAATTTCCTTTTATGGGAATGTAATAAAACTTTTCTAGTGCTTCTTCAGAACGTGGATTTAGCATTGCTGGAAGATTTTTAGAACAAAGAAGAACGTGTTTGAATCCAGAAAATGTCGATTCATTATTATTTTTGCATTATAATTACATATAATATTAATTTTACATTTATATTTTTTTCATAAATATTCAATTTGATCAAATAAATTGTACATAATTTACATTGATTATTTTTATACTTATATTAATTTCCTAAATTATAAACTTTTTGTAGAAGTGTAATGCTGAAATATTTTTATTAGATGCTTAAAAAAATGAAAGAATGACCATAATTAAATTTTATAAGCGGGCTTGGGTTAAAATTTTTTTTTATAAATAATGGGCGGGCGGGTAAAAAATTTTAGACTAATGGGCGGACGGGCGGGCGGGTAAGGAATTTTAAAGAAATGGGCAGGGCGGGCGGACTATATTTTTTGAAAACTATAGGCGGGCTGAGCGGGCGGTTTAAATTTTTTTTAAAACATTGGATGGGCGGGCTTTTCCACTATTACTTCCACTTGTTATATTTGAATTTATAAATTAAAGCTGTTTGGTCAAATTTACAAAATAATTTTTTCAATTCTGGTAAAAAGTTATATATTAAATTTTATATAATATTTAGCCAAATTATTAAAATAATTGGCGATAATTATAAAATAATTAAGATTAATTAACTTTACAATAATTAAAACTTTTATAGTTAAATTCTAATATATTAGGAATTATGGTCATACCAAAGCATCAAGTTTGAAAACATTTTCAAGAAGTGCGCGATAAATCAGTTAAAGCGGTATGCAGGTTTTACAAGATGTCCTATATTACTCGCGTTGATAGAATGATGAAGCATTTATTACGCAGCTGTACTATGTGCCCTGTTATAACTAAGGAAAAATTTTAATTAAATTCCAAAATATCAACCTCTACAAAAAATCACATAAATGTAATTTGTAATACTTCTAGCTCTAACGAGGAATTGGGTGAAATGTGAGAATGATTATCAAATTGACTTGTGACACAAGAAAATTTGATTCCATTATCTCTGATCAATTTACAAGCAAGGCGATTAAACGTAAATCTCAATCTTGAATAACTGGTTTCATAGATAGAATAAATCCCAAATAAAAAAAATGAGATCGATCAATTGTTGCAAAGGCTATACGAGCAATTTACCTTTCCACATCACTGAAAATCCTTACATCCAAGAATACTTTAAAAAAATAAGTAACATCAGAAATGAGAGTATTATTAATTTTATCAGCATTCTACTAAATTTAAATACTAAGGAAAATAGCCATACGTCAGATTATATTGCCCAGGAATTTAAAATTTAATTCATGAATTGAATCCGGTAAACGTATATTCTTTGGTTACTGATAATGCTGCTAACATGAAAGCAGCCTGGAGAATTCTAAAATCTGAATCTATTTATAATTTTATACAATATTATGGTTGTGCATCGCATACATTGCAGTTATTCTTTCACGATTGAACGACTTCAGTTGCCATATTTCAATGATTAAAAAAATACATACCAGCTGCAGTATTTTCCCGTAATACGAATCAACATGGTATACCATCTACATTAAGTAAAATTAGCCAAACAAGACGGGCATCGTCAATAAAATGCATGGAGCAAATACAAATATGTAAGAAAGCTCTGAAAGCATCAACTGTTGAAGAAGCTATATGTGATATTTGTCCCATAGAAATTACCAATGAAATATAAAATAAAGAAATATTTTGGAGGAAAAATTTAAATTTTTAGCTATACTCCAACCTATAGCTACCTCATTGTTGAAAGTGCAATGGATAAATGTACTTTGGCCCATGTAAAAAACGAGAGGCTTAATTTAGAAAAACACTCTTCAGAAAGAAATTGGTCGGTTTGTGGCAATATTACGAAAAACAGAAATCGATTGAAGACTTCTACAATAAGAAAATTGGTAAGAGTATATCATAACTTAAGATTTATTAAAATAAAAAATAAAATAATGATGTTGAATATGAATCGGAACAAGACTCTGCACGTAGGGCAAAACATTAACTATGGAATGAATTAAAAAAAAAATTATGAAATTTAATATTACATAGATTCATTATAATATTATATATATATAATAAAGTTATATTGGCATAAAAAACATTTATTTGAATTTGACCATATCTGACCGGTCAAATATCGGTCAATTGACCGAATCGTATAGAAATTTATCAAAAATAGCACATTTTGAGTTTGCCCATTTTAGGCACTTACATGTTCAAAAATATCTTTTGACATGGTGTAGACGTTAATATTTAAAAATAATCTTTTCGCAGCTTTATTCAGATGTTCGCGTCAACATTGCTACTCCATCTATCACGATACCCCGATCTACCCTATACGCGATGTGACAGTATACTGAACGAGTATAAAAATCATTTTAGGCCTTTACATATAGTCTCCTTAATCCACACTAACCTTTATTATATTATTTTTGTCAATACCTAAAACAATATATAATTATGCAACATCCATCTGTAACAAATGAAATGATTTCGTTATTAAGAAGAAAAAGTTAGGACGGATTGCGTTTCTTCCCAAATATACTGTCTTTGGATGTTCGCAGGTAGGGGATACTGGGGCTATTTCGGACATTTTTAATTTAGAGTGCCATAAAATTGTGAAAATAAGACTTTTTCCAAAAATAACTATATGAGTGGCAACCCCCCATCGACTATAATTTCATTATGCTAAATAATTTTTGCCTATGGTATTTTTGTTCCGAACGAATTTTACGAGAATCATTTTTCGCCGGGTTTGCCCCAAGCCCATCCCGGACACAACCGGGATATTTAGGAACAATTGTTTCTTTGCTTTATTTTAATAGAAACTGATTTAAAAATCTACAAATTATATAAATTAACTTTATTAATGAATTTAATAATCCTTGAGGCCCATCATTGACCAAATGTTAGATGTGGTTTTACTAGATTAGTATCTACATAAATGCAATCAGTATTAAATAAATATTTGTTCAAATTTTTGAAATTTTATTTTATATTTGTTAAGGGGTCAAAGTTGTTTACTACAGTATCAATTTTAATGTGTGGAACTGAGTAAATTAATTTTAAAACCAAAAAAATTCTAGCATACTTTTTTATAACTATTAGTTATTAAAAGAGGTTTTTTTGCATTAAAATTTTCCAAAGTGTCCGAAGTTGATTTTTTTTCCACAAATTATATTAACCTATTTTAGTTACAAATTTCAAGTCTTCAAATAGTTTTTAAATATGAAGACTGTTCGGATTTACCCCATGTCCCAAATGCCCCTGCACCTATATAGTCTTGGGACGAACATCTCAGGTTCCATACTCTAAACCTGACAAAATTAGAATTAATTTTATGAGTATCATTTTCTCTGCCAATAGACACATCATGTGCTAATAAATAATTATCCCCAAAGAATATTTAAAATATTTCTAAAATGTTTTGGAACCAGTCATTATTTAGTTGTTGATTGGAAAATTTTAAAAAAATCGCGATGGCTGAGAAAAGAATTCAACTTAGAAATGGGCGCGGGCCTAATTTTTTATTCACGGCCACCCCATTTACGGTGGCAATAAAAAAATTCACGCTTCACGCTTACTACTAAAAAAAAATTTGACCGACTCGCCCGCTCACGAAGGGCAATATTTTAATTACGCCCGTCATGCCCAAGAATTTACGGTGTTCTTAAATTTTCAAAACTTTATTGATATACTTTTATACTTTTATGCTTATTTGAATCTATTCTGTTTTTATTTCTCTAATTACATTTTAATAACACAAAATAATTACAATTTCTAAAATCAATTTTATTTAGAAAAAGAAGAATGTCCATTTTTTTATTTCAGTTGTGTTCGCCTTTCCTCTAATAAGCAATTGGCTATGGAAAATAACCTTTCACTAGAAGCCGAACTTGTCGGGGCTGACAAAACTTTACTAGCTAATTTTCTCATAAAAGGAAATGAATTTTCCTGTTTCCAAACTTCAAAATATTCACATTTATATTTGTTTTATAAGATGAATCTTTTAAGTTCATCTTCACAAATTTTAACGGTAGATGTTAAGGCTTCATCAGAATTCTCTAAATCTTTTATTTAGAGAATATAAAGTTCATTATGCAGGATGAATTAGAAAAGTTAATGATAGTTGGCATTGCTTTATGTATATCGTCGAATTATAAATCATTTAGCATTTTAAGTTGTTTTATATGTATCTGCCTTTTCATCGTCTATTAAAAACTTAAAATTTCTGAAATTTAAATTTAGAATTAAGCCCTAAAAGAGATATGTCCTGTTCTTTAGGGTTTTGATTATTATTGTATCACCTTCTATAGGTTGATAAAATTTTATCAATTTTTACCATAAATAAACTTCATTTATAGTGGGATAGAATCTCCGCTCAGATTACCTGAGCATTCTTCGAATATTGTTAAAAAATTATCTAACTAGCCTGTAATATTTATATTAATGGTATCTAATTAATTCTTGTTTGTTAAACAGGATTTAAATAACTTTGTATCATGATATATGCATAGTTCCATCGTTATTATATCTTCATTGAAAGTCTTAGCTTGCTGTTTGCTGCAGATTACTTAAAATATTGCGCTATCTTTTTTACACCATTTATACTTAAAGTTAAATTATCTTTGAATTCAGTTATATTTATTACATTTTAAACGGCAGTAATTTTTTTTAGATTTATAGGTAATATGAGAAAATTTAAACTATAAGTTAAGATGTTTCCTTTAATTTTGACTGATTATAATTAAATGATTAGTATACAGTAAAGGATAAATGAAAATAAAACATATTTAAATTAAATTTAATACCAAATTTCCATTGCTGTGGGAGAGTTGAGAGACTTTAAATTATTTTTCATTTTATAAGACAGGGGAAAAAAATGTAGTTTATAAAATGCGTAATTTTTGTTTTCAAAAATTATTCCTATTTCAAAAAGAATTAAATTAAATTAACAAATATATATATTATAATTTACAATTTTAAAATTATAAATTTATATTCTAAAAAAACAATTTAAAAAATTACAAATTTATATTCCTTAAAAAACAATTTAAAAAAAATTAAAATTTCCTTGATTTAGGGAAAATTTATGATCGCATCAATCACGCCCGGCAAAAATTTTGGGAAGACCGTCACGCCTAATAATTTAAAATTTATTCACACTCACACCGTGACCCATCGTGTCATGCGTAATTTCACTGCCCGCTCTCACCTCTAATTCAACTTCCTCCTATTATATTCTAAAAATTTTATAACCCTTAAATTTTTTATCTATCAAAAATTATATTTAAAACCTTATTATCAGTAAATACTTAATAATCTTATAATGCCATTCTAAAAAAAAATCCAAATATATTATTTTATAACCAATCCGCACCTCTTTAATTAGAAAATGATTTCATTTATGATATTAAATTATTGATATAATATAAATAAACTCTTCATAAAGTCTTGGGTTGACATTGTTGACAATTTCTTCCAAATAGTAATATTTTGGTAATTCATAAATTCCATCGATGACATTGATGATCCTTCTTCTAAGTCGGGGTTAAAATTTACATGAATTATTTTTCCATTAGGGGTTTCAAAGTTAAATTTGTCTGCACTAACTTTAACCAAGTCATAATTGTTTGCTTCCATGTTGAATGGTAAGTCCCGCTGTTTTAGTTGACTGAAGTCATGACCACTCATGTAATTCGTAAGTGATTCCATTTTAGACGAAATTAATTTGGCGTTGTGGATTGTTCCGACATCGTTTTCCTTTTTATTATCTTCCCGCCCAAAAGTTTCGGCGGAATTTTTGTAGCTTCCCATGTCATTCTCTCTTTTTACATTACTTTTATGGGAAGGGTCTGTATCATCGTAATCATTTTCCGAGATGATTTTGATCTTTTTATTATTCTTGACCACTTTAAATAAATTGGCCTTCTCAGGATAAAGAGCGTTTAATAGCCATACTTTAGGCCCTTTGTCTCTTTCATTTGCGCCTGTAGAATTGGAGTTAACTGACAAATAGATAATATTTTGATTTGGCAAAATCTGGGACGGTCTATGGGCCGGAATTCTAAAGCACAATTTTAGGATAATCGATGTTAATAAATAGATTGTGATAATGTAAATGCGTCTCATTATACTGTTCAATCATCAAGAGTTGATGACTCTTTAATTTTATATTTTCGAAAAATAACGAATATTGAAATTAATCTTTTAAATTATTATGAATATTTGTGAATATTATAAAATAATTTATTATTTTATGTTAATTTTTAAATTATAATGCGAAATAAACTAATTAATGCAAAAATGTTCGATTTGTTTAGAACATATTCTTCACTTAGTTTACCTCTATTTTTTCAATTATTTATAAAAATATTTTTGTCAAGACGTTGTCGAAAATTTTAAACATTAAAAAAAACGTCAAAGAATATTTGTAATATATAATATTACATATAAATATTATGCAAATTTTTTTTTGATTTATAATAATTTATTTTGATCAAACAAATTGTCAATTAATATTGAAACATTACTATCGTCTTTCTATCCAAGGTTTATAACCTTTATGGCTTAACTCTTCTCATTATCCAATGCTAAAGCTTATGAAAGGGAAAAATAGGTTATTAAAATATTTATATTCAGTGCCCAAGAGGAATGTTGGTACTAAATTATTTCTTAAAATTCCTTAAGAAAAACAAGAAACGAATAAAATATAATTATATATCCGGTGACTCCAAAAAAAACGTAATTTTTAAAATTTTTATTATTTTATGTATGCGTCACTCATTTTTTTGTAAAGTTTCGTATTATAGTAAAGAATATACATATGTAACTTAATATCTTAAATTTTTTTTTTAGATTTGATCCAGTCATTTTTTTAGAAAATTAAGATCAAAAATTAATTCAGATGCGCATCTTTTTTCCAATCTCCACTTCCCTTGATCTTAGGCTAACTTGATTTTCTCTCGCAAAAATTGCGGATATACTTCACGAATTATTTTTATTAATGAAAATCTTTAATTGGTTCTACAAATGATAATCTAATAATATAATCAATGAAGTTAGTGAGCCATTGTGCAGATTCTATAAATCGTAGGTAATTAGCAGACAAAAATTTATATGTGGATAAAGAGCTTTAAAATATCACATTTAATCGTCCAATAAGGCTTTGGCACTGTGGTACTAATGGTAAAATTTCTTTCAATTGATTGATATAAAGGCATTAGAATCTATCATTATTCATTGATTGATTAAAAATACATAATTTCATGATAATATTTTCAATTTAGAAAATTATCGTCTGCTTTTGTTGGGTGCTAAATAAATGGTATTTAATAATAACAGTTATTTGATAATCTAAATATTTTATGTCACATTACGATTAGGTAAAAAAAAAACTAAAAGCGAGCGCATCCTATACAGTCCAAACACAATGCAATATATCATATCTCTTTTTGAACAAAAATATTTTGAGGGTCTTGAGTTATTTTTTTCTTCAAATTTTAGCATTTTGGATCTCAATTTTATGAAAAAATTCTATCAAATTTTCAAAAATTTTATCAAATTCTCAAAGATCTAGCCAAACCTGTAAATACCTTTAATTTTAGACTTGACTGGACTAATCCTCAACATCAATATATTTGAATCGACTTTTAGATTGCAGTTTAAAAAATATTAATGCAAGAATATTTGGTTTATAAAGTTTTCTAAAATCAAAATTCAAACTAATTAAGAGTTAAGCTAGAGAATTATATTGATTACTCATTAAGATGAACCTTATATTAGAATTTTTATATTTGTATTCGATTTTGTGACAAATATTTCAGTCAAGACAAATTTGTTCTTTTTTATTTAATACAAATAAATTAAATCAACAAAGAAATATCGCACAAATTCGCTGTAATTATTATATAAATTTTCAAAGAAATTTCATTTAATAATGAATTAATAAATATTTTTTAAATATATTTTTAAAAATGTCCTTACGGCTAAAAAAAATTATCATTTAAAAATTTTGAGCTAATTAGCAGGTAAAAAATTTATTTTTAATATCATATCTCCTTGTAAAATAATTCATTAAGAAAAAATAATAATAATTTAGTTTAAAAAAAAAGAAGTTACCTGTAAGGTTAATTTTTATATAATTTTTTTTAAAAATATATACATTCAAATTTTGACAATTAGTTTAAAAAAATTTATTTTAAATCAATTTAATTTTTATATATTTATATACGCTGACGACTGAATAACGTAAAACATATTAATTACAATAACCTGACTCGGACTGGGTTTTTTGGTCGAGTTTTGTAGACTTCAACATATGTAAATTCGACGAAAATCACCTGCTCTATCAACCTGACCTCCTAAAAAAAATTTTCCAAATTTTATTAGTAGATAGTATATATTATTTAGGAAATAAAACTACTTAGATTTCCTCACAATTTTATAGTAAAATTTTTTTTAAAACCTTTTGTAAATATTTACTTGCAGTATTGGGAACCACCGTAAATATTTTTATCTAAAATATCCTTTTTTTTCAAACCTTTTGTACATATTTACTCGCAGTATTGGGAACCACCGTAAATATATATTTAAAATTCAATATCTTTTTGCACCCTTGGCATTTTTATAAGATATATTTTATTTTCAAATAGAATGTTGTAATTTCTTAATTTCCTTGACAAAAGGTACAGATTTATATTTTTATTTAAAAAATTCATTATTCGTTACATTTATTTTGACGATTGTGCCAAAAGAATCTGCAGTTATATAAAAAAATTTGTCCAATATTATGTCTTTATAATTAAATTTTAATTCAAGGCAATGTACCACGCTAATCATGAAGGAAATTGGCTTTATTTATTTGAATCGAAAATATTAATTCTCTAATTATCATCTATTGTAATTGTTTTCAATTTCACCGTAAGGGAGGCAGCATATTTTGCTTAGGATCAGATCTTTAAAAAGACCAAGTCTATTTGAACACTTTTGTGATACAGCTACTAATTTATAAAATTATCAAAGCCACAGCCAGAATCATAGATATTTTAATTGCTAGATTTGTTCAATCAAATATTTCAATGTGAATTTGATATTCAGATATCTCAAGTATGCACCAAGAGAAGTTCATCGTATAATGAATGTTTTTATTTCCACTTTTTATGTTGTTAACCTTGATTTAGCTGTTATAATATGCCTCTAGATTTACCAAAAAGAAGCCCCAAACCTTGGTAGTTTTTAGAAAAATCTATGAGGTAATAAAACGAGGTTGTTAACAACACTATCCATTTGGAAATTATTGAAAAATTAACTCAATCTAAAAAGAGATTCCATATATTTTTTCCTAAATAGAGAATATACATTACAGTTCATGCAATATTTCTTAAGAATATTTTTGTGTATTACTCTATATATTCAATAATTAATATTTGATTTTTGTTAGAATTTGAGCCATTTTTTACAATCAATAATTCTTATAAATTTATATATATTTTAAAATTCGCAAAAAAAATTACATTTATATGCAAAAAAAATTTCAGAGGTAATATTTTCTTCACTAAACGGGTAAACCCGGTTTTTAATCGAAAACTCAGAGTTACGCCAATTATATATATTAATTATTTCAATAGCATTTATGTGCATAAATCAAGCGCGTCGCTAAGGAAGGAGCGCAGGAAAAAAGAGCCCCCTGAAAAATTTTCATACCATATGTTGTTTTGAAAATGTTCGTTAAAAAAAAAAGTATAGCTAAAATGATATAAATCTTTATTTGATGATATTACAGATTATGTAGACATTAGAAATTATTATTTTTTTAGTCCCTAGTACTAAATTTAAAAAATTTCTGATGATTATTTTATTAAAAAAATTAGAATATATTTAAAAAATTGTCTACCTAACAAAGCAAATTCTTGGCTAACCTGATGCATCCAAGTATTTTATTTACTTTTTGTTTCATATAATTAGAGGTCTTTGCAAAAGTTGCCCGGCCCGAAATTAAAAAAAAAATTTGCTCTAAGCTGGCCGAAAATTTTTAAAAAATTTGCCTTAAGCGCCAGGCCCAAAATTTCCTAAAAAATATTGCCCGAAGTCAAAAATTATATTATATTATTTTTATTATATAAAAAAATATAGAATAAAATTAAATTACATAAAAAAAATATAGAATAAAATTTTTTATTCAATTATCATTCCATCCTTCATTCATCATATCATATAATAATAGTCTATTTATCTCCATCGGTTTTATTAAAATTTCATTTAAGAAAAAAAAGAAGGGGGGGGGGGTGGGAAGGTGTAGATGTATAATAAAATAATCTGTTTGAAATGACTATCATTTTTATGATAATTTTTTTACTTTTTTTAAACTCTGATTGCCCATTATTTGTGACCCATCGTCATTTATTATTTACCACTATTTGTAATTATTAGTTATTTCTGATTTCCTAGACCTCACTCTCCTCGGCCAAAGGCCAGGCCTAGGACGAAGTCTTAATTCAAATAAGAATTCCGTCATTACAATTTTAAAAGATGTACATATAACTGATATTCTTTTAATTTCTTCCTCTGTACATAATCATACGAGTGAAAATATAAAGCGCGAATTTAATGTCTAAATCTAATAGGATATTTAAAAATTGATAACATTTTTTTTACTAATTACGACACCTTGAGTATATTAATTTATAAAATATAAAAAATAATAATTTGGAAAAGGATAAATATCATAGTAGGGGAGACCGTGGATATAATGAACCCGTGGTTATATCGAAACGTGGTTTTATTTTCTAGAGTTTTAAACTCTAAGGGATAAATTTTTTTACCAAAACTATATAATTATATAATGCATATGCGGATTTTTATATCCATCGGAGAATTTGAAGAAATTTTATAATGCATTATATGATTAGTACCTGCAAAGGTAACTTTTTAAACCTCTACTATTTTTAAAAAAATAAAGATTAACATACATTTTTACCACCCATAAATCATCTTATATAAAAGAAAAAATCCTATTTTATAGAATATCAATTTACTCGAACAAAATTGATATTATAAATACTTCAAAATATGACCTTAATCAAAGTGGTGGCATTGGGGCTAGAGGTTAGAACGAGCCTTTTTACAATTTTTTTAAAAATTTCAACTAAAAAATTACCATGGAGAGAGCAAAAGAAAAAAATCAAGAAATGGTATTAATAATAAAAACGATTGTTTAG